GAGCACCCAACAAGAACAAGAGGCATTTCCTCCCTTTCTAATGGTCGTGACTGCCATGTGGTGCAATTTCCGACCAGCCCTTGTTGCTGCCCTTCCAGGAATCCCCAGCAGTTTTTTGTTTGCTTGACAGATTTTTCCTGCTGCTAAACAAATGGCTCCACCTTACTGGCTTTCCAAAAGAGCCCCTATGACAACATGTTCTTTAGAATCTGCCCAGTAGGGAAATAAATATAAAACTACTCTTTATTTTCAGCGAAGAGAAAGCATCTTCTCCAGGCTCTTTTCCCTACAGACCTCCAGAGAACAGAAGGAAGAGCATGAAGAGTACACCCCATGCTCTAGCACTGCCAGGATGCTGCCATGCCAGCTCTGGGCGTGGAATTGGGATGGGGAACAGCCTGGCTCTACTTTGGGGCCACTGGAAGTGAGGTTTCTGTGAAGGCCAAACCCTGTGCACTCAGGCTGAGCTGGCGAGCGCATCGTAAGAAGGGTAAGAAAGCAAACCCGACCAGGGAAGAAGCGAACAAGTGGCTTGTGAAGATGAACAATGTGGGTTAAGAAGGGAAAGGCTGAAGTGAGGTTTAGGATGGAGAAGACTGTGGCTGTGGAAGAGACAATTGTCCTGTGCTTGATGAAGGGAAGACCAGAGTCTCCCTTGCTTTCAGTGCCAAGGATCAAAGCCACACCAACACAAGTGAGAGGCAGAGGACCGGCGTGGCCAGGGACTTGGGAATTGTTCTGGAAGGAGCTGCAAAAGGACATGGGGAGATGTGGCAGGTGGCACCAGGGGTGGGAGCTGCAGGCATTAGCTAAAAGGGGAAGCAGGGTTACTGAACCCTCGTGACAAGTGCTCTGTTCTAGAGACCCCCCCATGGTAACAGAGGAAGATGATGGCCAGGACACGCTGAAAGAGCACATGCACAGCATTGGCCAACCCAGAATCTGGCCAGGCCACACAAAAACCGAGTGTGGGGCTGGAACACCAAGCCTGTCATGTAAATAATAGCACCTGGACCAAGTGGATGTTTGAAAGGTGAAAATGAAATGGGCTGCCCCCCGAGTCTGAGAGCACCACAGACATTTCCATGGAGAGGCCGCCAGAGCAGGTGTTTGCTGCCTGAGGTCAGGCTCAACAGCTGCCTCTAGCTTGTTACTGCGAAGAGAAAAGGCACGTGGGACAAATGGTGCTGGGCTTCAACGATTCAGGAGCTGCAGCGTTTTCCACAGGATGCCCATCAGGTCCTCCGTGGCGAATCTTCCAAGATGAAAGGTACTTCCTCCTGGGTCTTAAAGCCAACACCCCAAGCATTTGCTACCTCTGAAAACACTGGAGCCCCTACCACATCCTGGAACATCATGAGATCTTACTGCAAACGGTAGCCTGCCTCTCTAGTGCTGTGGGAACAACTGGCAATAGGTTCTTTCATGCAAGGTACATAGGAAAAGCTCTCAAGTTTTAGCAGAAGGCTGGAAACTCCTCACAGAGCAAGACGGCATCCCACATAGAGTGGGATGGTCCCCACTGACCAGGGACAGACAAAGGAGCCTCCGCTATCACCAGGGCAGCTTCAGTCCCAAGGAAGGACTGAGGGCCTGATGGTGGTACAGGAGCAGCAGCCTGTCCTCAGGAAGCTTTACAAGACTGTTTTCCTTCAATGTCATAAGCAGAGCTACTTCTGTAGTAGCACCACCGTGCCCGGTCTGCACAGCCTGGGGTGTGAACGAGCACGGAGGGAGGCCGGGCAGCCCTTTGCAACACGGCTAGAGCAGCAGGGACGAATCTTGCAGGCAATGGTGCTGCTCCCCGGTGCGATGAGGAACAGTGCAAGGAGCAGTTAAAATCGTGAATGCGTTTCTTAAAAAGCCACCTCTGTCTGAAGGGCAACAGGCACCTCGATGACATCCATGGGCGCAGCCTGGGAGACGCTGCCCGTGCTCACAGCCCGGGCTCGCTGCTGCCCACCGCGCAGCGAGCAGGATCACCGCGTGGCGTGTGGGGTTAAAGAAACCACACTTCATCCACGGCTGCTTCTGTGTTATTTGCTGTGAGTGAAGCTCTCCGCAGACACTTAACATTCGAACGTCTTCAGATTTCTATATTCTCAACCATTAAATAACTTAAAAATTATCACCGTCTCTGGAAAACATCTTCTGGCTTATACAAAACCGGCAAATATTTCGACTGAAAACAGAGTCTGGATTTCACAGCGGTGTTTAAACAGCAACGTTGGAGGATTCCTGTTTGTCCCTCTGCCACGTGTGCCTTGGGGAGCGGAGGAGCTCAGCAGGAGGCAGCATGGCACGCAGGCACATCATGGAGTGTGTGGCAGGGACACTCCCGAGCAGGCTGTCCCCTCCTAAGGAAGATGCAGAGCAGTTTGTCGGGTTTCGTATTTTTAGCAGGTTTAGAAAAACCTGCCCAAGTTATTTTTGAAGCCTGTGGTATGCTTGCTTGCAAGAGTGTCCCTGCAAACTGTCAATACCAAGTCAGCTTAAGCCCAACCCACTCCCTGGTGACTAAGGAGAAAAGCATCCCTCAGCTTCTGCTGGGCCAAGAAACACAAACAGGGGATAACTGCTTCAGGGACACCCCCACCCCACTTTCATGCTGACAGGTAATGTCACCAATATTTGATCTTTTTTCTGAAAGTGCTGCCATGGGGAGTTAGCTGGACTGCAGGAAGCAAGCGAGGTTACATTTTATCCTATTCCTCCCACAGTTTGCATAACTCACCCAGAAACTCGAAGGAGACCAACATCTAAACATTGTCCTCCGGGCCTTTTGTTTGTTTGTAAAGCAATCTGACAATTTCTTGGCCTGTAAGCTTTTCAGAGCAGAAATGCATCCTTTTGTGCCTGAAGGAAGCTGACTGTGGGCACAGATCTTCCCCCAGATCTCTGGGCAGAGCTGTAGTGTGCTTTGAAACGTTCTGAACCGAGTTGTGTGTTAATGAAGCGCTCGCTGGCTCTTCAGCCCTTCTGGTCCCTGCCTCCATCATCTACCGGCCCTGAGAAGAAGGGCAGAAGGACAGAACCAGCCCCCAGACGACAGCTGATGGGGAAGAGCCACCACTGGTGGTGGGGGAGGTGTTGGTCCAGCCTTGTTCCTCTGCCTGCCAGGGAGCTGCACCTGAGCTCTGCCCCTGGGCTGGGACCTCTGTCCCTCCATCCCTGTAATAAAGGACAAGTCATAAATATACTGCCAGGCCTGGGACCGAGCGGGCAGCAGGAGGCAGGGGAAAGGCTCTGAGTTACGATTAGCTCTGTAAAACACAAGCAATGGTCTTTATCCCGTGAGCCAAGAAGTCGTGCAAATCCTGCAGGAAGCCAGCTCTTCCGTCACTGGCGGCGTCTGGGCTGGGTGTTAGGGCATTGGAGGGACGCGTGCCGGCCGGGGCAGCGGGGGTGTCCCGTGCCGGGGTGTCTGTCCCGCTCCGGGGTGTCTGTCCTATTCCGGGGTGTCTGTCCCGCTCCGGGGTGTCTGTCCCACGCCGGGGTGTCTGTCCCGCTCCGGGGTGTCTGTCCCACTCGGGGGTGTCTGTCCTGCTCCGGGGTGTCTGTCCCGCTCCGGGGTGTCTGTCCCACTCGGGGGTGTCTGTCCCTCTCCGGGGTGTCCCGCGCTGGGGTGTCTGTCCCGTTCCGGGGTGTCTGTCCCACTCGGGGGTGTCTGTCCCGCTCCGGGGTGTCTGTCCCACTCGGGGGTGTCTGTCCCTCTCCGGGGTGTCTGTCCCGTTCCGGGGTGTCTGTCCCACTCGGGGGTGTCTGTCCCGCTCCGGGGTGTCTGTCCCACTCGGGGGTGTCTGTCCCGCTCCGGGGTGTCCCGCTCCGGGCTGCGCGAGGAGGCAGCCGCCGCCGGCCACCGCCGTGCACGCGGCCAGGCGCTTCTCCTCCTGGACCACTGCAGCTCAGTACTCGGACGTCTCCTCTGAGCTGCCTTTCCACAGCAACTCCTGACAAGGTGCGTCGGGCAGAAGTGAGGGATGCAGTGGAAAATGAGCTCCTAAATAGCCTAAAATCCCAAGCGGCAAGCATAGGCAGCTCCCAGTGAGGAAGTTTAACTTTTATGACAAGCCTTAACCAAAAATCCTGACAGTTAATTCTGGAGTTCTACGAGAAGCAGGGGGTTTTTTGTTGTGTTTTTTTTGTTTGTTTGTTTGTTTGGGGTTTTTTTGTTTGTTTGTTTTTGTTTTTGTTTTTTCCCCCCCATTTCTGAAACGAAGGAGCTGTCATTTGGGAAGACTCGGGCGTTCAGGGTTGAGAGGCAGCAGCGGGTGGCTGCCAGAGCCCAGCGCAGTCTCTGCCCGCCGGTTTAGCCAGACTCCAAGATGCAGCTGCAGGCAGATGTCATCTTGTCCCCTCGCTTTCACGTGCACGGGTACTGCAGATGCTACTCCTGCCACAACTCCGTTTCACTGGGAACTTCAAAATGCAAATTAGTCCAAGAGGATAATTTTCATGACGCCCCAAACACAAATACAGTAATACTTCCATTTTGGTATTTCCACAAGTTATAGTACAACAATATGAGACTGCATACCTAACTCATTCCTCTGCCAAGATACTGCAGCTATGCATTCCTTCAGTTTACGGTCAACGCTGAAGGCACCCACCCCCCCACCCCCTCCCCACCAAAAAGACAAGCAAGACCAAATTCTTCCTGGTCTTAAGAGTATCACAGAAAACACCCAACAGTACTTTTAACTGACTAGGTAGTCACACTGTTCATAACACATTAACATTCCCCCAAAAGTAAAGGTCAAAATATCAAAGCTTACTCCAATCCTGGTTTTTGACTGAGGAAAAATTGCTTTTTTTTTCAGTGACATCTACACCAACAGATGTCTTTTCTGCACGGGGGAATTCAGGCAATTTGTTCTCAAGCTGCAGGTGTTTTTACAGCCTACATGTCCAAATATTAACTTTATCTTAACTTTGTAACTGAAGTTGAACAAGTCATTGGATGTACTACGCTATTTCCGTAACAGAAAACCATGTGTGCATCTGTTTGAAATGTTTATTTCTATCTTCATAAATACATCATTTTCTAAACACTGTGCAAGGCACCAAAAAATTAAGTAAAATCTTTTCTTTTAGAGTATTTTAATCTCTTTTGACTCAATGAAGTAAATAAGAATCTGAAACCACCTATTTGCCAATTACAAGCCAGCAGTTAAGGCAGGTACCATTGATACAGTGCATGAATCTTCTATTGCAGTTATTTAAACAAGCAGCGTTTTACTATAGAAGTGCATATACAAACTGAATTCCAAACACCAGCAACCCAAGATAGGCACCTAGTTATGAAATTTCCTTGTATGTGTAGTAGAATGCCAAAAGTTCTGCCATAAAGTGCAAAGACTATGGACAATAACACTTTCTTTTGAGCATTTTGATACCAGTAACATAATACAACTGCTAAACATTTATAAATGTGGTTTCCATTACAAAAACATGTTCCACATAAAAGCTTCTTAATACAATCCAGAAACAGGACTTGTGCGTGTACATATTTTAGAAGTTGAAGCTGTACTGGCATACTTAGGTACCGGGTATGTATTTGCTGACCTCTACAGACACGCACTAAGTTTATAACCAATTTACATGTACAGTCAAAATCATTCCGCTTTGAGCACCGTGATATCCACTGAGTTTTTCCATCTGAGTGACGATGTGCGACATCCACCCTGGTAATCTGCAACCCGAGCATTGCCTGTAAGATGATCTGGTTCACAGCTCTCACCCAGCCCTCCCCAATAAACGGAACCTAAAATTAGTGTCTTCCCAACACAAGCACATGTCAGATGTGGACAAATACATTCATGGTCCCAAACTTAAAACAACTGGTAAGAATTTCACAGTGATCTGGTTAAGGAAGCACGAAGACAAATGATTACATTTAGGATGAAAATTGCTTTTAAACTCAAATGAAGCTAAACTGTATATGATGAGAAGCTACAGGAACAAAATATTAACCAATTAGAAAAGTGGCTCTTTCCCAACTAATAACAAAAAACCTACAGCAATAAACTTAGGGTCCTGCTGCTGCAGCAGCCTTTGAGGTAGGTGGCGATGGCTTAAACCGAGGTAGGTAAAGTCCAAACTTGTTTTCAATCCCTGCAAAAGTGGCAACTGCTAATTTATAACCACCAACATGGTCAGGGTTAGGAGCAGGAAGCGTGATCCTAGATTTAGGAACTGGCTCTGATCCAGCTGGTTTTCTGCAAAATAATAAAAATAGTAAATTAATTTCCATAGAGTAGAATCAATATTCACAAAAATCTCCTCCATAAAGTAAGCTGAATGAGACATCTGAGTGTACCTCCTAGTAAAAGTAACTAACTTAACTGCTACAATGTCATGAGAAATACCCCGTTTTAAAACCTTCCTGAACAGTTAGGAGCCTTCATGGTGATCGAGTATGGTCAAATCTAGATGAAATTTGTCATGCATTAATCAAAACTGCAGCGTGGCGGAGCAGGGGTTCGTAAGTCTCTGCTACAGTGCACAACCAATCCAGGAGCCTAGCAGAGTTTAAGTCATTTTTGTAGTGGCTCTCAAACTACTGTCCCCAAAGCTTCATAAATGGTCTGCAGCTGCTCCTGGGATCACGTTAAACAGCAGTATGCACATCCACCTGTACCATCAACAAAGACAGGAGGCAGAGCTGAAGCTCCAGCAAATAGGTTTTGGTCTTGGTGACACCTCTAGACTTTTTTGGATGTCAAATGTCCTGCCCTGAAACTAATGAGGACTAACGCAGAGCGTATCCTGACCTGGCAGGTGTCACATTTCCCCAGCAGTTATATCCCCAGCCCATTATTGAGCCTCTCACTGTCTCTGTTTACACTGACGCTGGAAACAGTGATATAAAATGTGGTGTGAAACAGGTACTGGAATATCACCCTAACCTCCACCAATGTAGTGTGGCATAAATAATATTTACAAAGCCTTTGTGTCCTCCGTGATAGCAAGACCCTGACTCTGACGTGTTGAGGGGCACCAAGACCCACATAGAAACAAGTGCAGCTTCAGGGCCCCAGGCAGATTCAGACACCACATACTTACACTCCCCCGAAGTCCACATAAAACCACCTCTGCAGTAGCTCATAAGTCACCAGAGTTACACCAAACTGAGGAGAAGATCGAAACACACGAGCTTGAAAGAAAAGAAAAAAGAGTTCCTAAGTGACAAAACCACAGTTAGGCATCAGTTAGTAATCAAAGCTCTTTTACACACCTCCTGCTCCTTTCCACAGAGCCTTCGGACCTTCCTCTCGAAGGATCTTTGCAAAACAGTCCACGACCCCGCTGTAGGTGGTCTGTCCTGCCCGGGCTGCCACCTGTAGCCTTGTTTTGATGACATCCGCAGGGGTCACCAGGGAGGCTGCAGGCATGCCTACGCAACACAAAAGTTCGGTGGGTAACGCCAACTTGTCACGTATGCTACATACATCATTTACCCCGGGGTAACCGTGGCTTCGGTCCTTGCACCAGGAGAATCCAGCCACGACTGATGTAAGCAGAAGCTGGAAGGGAAAACAAGCAACAAGCGGCAGCCGTTGTGGACATGGCTTCACCCAGAAAGAACTTCTTCTAGAGGAACAACCAAATCACATGCTTCCTGCCGAGCCGGGAGGCACAGGCTGGATTTTCAGCGCTAACCAGAAACTCGCATAGTTCATAAAGTTTTTGGAGGTGAGATCGATCTTTCCCTTTCCTTTTCACGCCTCTCTGTGGTTCCTGGCACTCTGGCTGCACACTGGGCTAGCCCAGCCTGTACACGCACACACCCCCACGCAGCAATGGTACTGAGAACGTGCTAATGCCCCGCACACTCAGCAAGGCATGAGAGCTGAGGTTTCAAAAAAGGGTCATTCTTCTCATTAGGCATGGCAGACTGCTCAGCTGAAAAGCCACGGCTGACATCCTCAGCAGAACACTTAGAGGAAGATTTAAATTTACCTGGGCAGATAATCAACTGAAAGCAAAAAATACCAAATTACCAACGGGTGGTATTTCTAAAAATCATTTCTGTCCAAACTGGGGCTGCCCATGTTTAGAATTAAGAAAAAAAAAAAAAAAAAGCCAAGAAAAAGCACTGAGACTGGACCCAAAAGACACTGTCTCTTATGGTTTTATTACTTTTCCATTCTGCATCTGTTCCAAACCAACTTGGTCAGACGTAGATGCATAAATCTCCTTTGCTTTTTTTTTTTTAAGCTTAATAACTCTGTAACAACTTTTGTCCAAACCAGCATGGTCTGGCTTCAAGCACCAGAGCACCCTTCCTGCAGACTGCTCTGAGAGATGTAAGCGTGTGCATATCACCAAAATAAGAACTCCTCCTCCTCTCCCAGACCCCCCAAAATAACGCACATGCTGAACCGGCACAGTGGTCAGTCTGGCAGGCAAGCGCTAAAGCCTGGTAAAGATTTCTGAACTCCAGAAATGTTGAAATTCCTCTTTGCTTAGCCCTACCCACACCAGGATACTGGTTGAGTCTTCAATTTAAAGCTGGACTTCTGTCCTTCAAAAGCCAACCAGTGTTTTCAAGGAAAACCAAACGACATACTTCGAAACAATTCTGCTTACTACCCACTGACTTCCATATCCTTATTCCTCATTCCTTATTACTGAGGATATTTTGCAGTTAAAGATGTGTTTAATCCTGTTTTTAGGAGCTACGTGTATAGGACAAAAGACCTTACAAAGAAAAATGTACAGGTCACTGCTGTGAGGAGCTTACAATCAAAATGAGACAAATGGCACAGCAGGAGCCAACAATAAAAAAGAGGAGTGAGGGGAGGAGAAGGAAGTTCATGGAGGCAATAAGCAGATGGAGCAAATTAAGGAGAGATCCTGTAGCTGATACTAGAATCATCTCCTCAGAAAATGCTGTGGCACAACAGGTTGAGACATCTGGTGAACAGTGAAAGCCAGCAGCAGATCAAACTACACGGCACACACGCCGCACGTGTCCCTAACAACCACAAAAAGGAAAAAAATAATATATCCAGCACAAGCAACACCCACTGGCAAGGGAGGCAGGTGTGTGGGTGAGCACGGCCAGCTTGAAGGGCCCAGCACCAGGCGCTGCGGAAAGGTGGCGCTTCCCACACCCAGATGGAGCTCACGAACATGTCTCAAGTCCGACGGCCGGGTGAGATCCCTGGCCAGAGCAGAGACATCAGCCCAGAGACCGAGCCAGCATTTCAGAGGTGGTGGGGTTTATGTTTTGTCTTCCCCTTGACTTTCTCGTGGCAAACTAGAGCAGATACATACGCTCCCGCCACGCTCCACTTGTACCAAATAAAAGAAATTCCTTGTTTTTGTAAACAGTATGATGAGTGTTGTATCTTTAACACTGTGAATTGCTCATGAGAGTTAACCTAGGATGGGATTCACAGGAAGCAATGGATAAAATTCACATTATAGCTAGTTTGGTAAGCTGTATCAGCAACAATAAAGACTGCTTCTGTGCCTGAACTTCAAAGGGATGGTTATCTCAGTCTGCAATCACCTGACAATGGCTAGAAAGAGAAAAATAGGAAAATCTAAGAAATGACTTGGCTTAAAAATGCCAGCTTATGTTTCAAGTCTGTAAATATGATCTAAAGTTCAAAAATTGTTTTGTTCCATTAAAATGGGTGAGAAATAAGCTGGCTGTAAGCTCCTGTTGGGGGGCTTGGAGGCTGGCTCTGGTTTGGGGTGGGGGAAGGGAGAGGACGAGGAGGTTTTTAGAACCAGACATTTGAACAGAGCTGGTTTTCCTACTGCCAGGTTGACTCCTTTGGACTAAGAGCTACTGAATACAGAGCTGCGTGCTTCAACAACTGTTGTGGTTTAGGCCTGATTGGCAGTCAACCACAATGCAGCAGCTCTCTCTCCCTTCCCCTCCGGCAATGAGAAGGGACAGAGAGCCAGGCTTGGGGTTCAAGATAGGACTGGGATGGGGGAAAATCCCCCTTTTATGATCACGAGCAAAAGGCAGACTCGTTAGGGGAAGAAAAGAAGAACACACATTTATTACAGACACTAACAACACATAACAGAGTAGGACAGTGACAAGCATTGCCACATCTTGAGAACACCTTCCCCACACCCCTCCCTTCTTCCCGGGCTCAGCTCTGCTCCCGATATCTCTACCTCCTCCCCCAGTGGCGCAGGGGCAGGGAATGGGGGGTGCAGTCAGTGCTGCCACTTTCTTCATCTTCGGTGAGGGGAGTGTCCGGAACTTGTTCCTCCTGCTCCATCGTGGTCCCCCTCTCACAGGAGACAGTCCTCCACAAACTTTCTCCGACTTGAATTCCTCCCACAGGCCGCAGCGTTCCCCACACTGCTCTGTCGTGGGTCACTAACTTCCTCCAACTGGATTCTCTCCCACGGCTGCAGCCCTTCCCGAGCTGCTCCGGCGTGGGACTCCCCCGCATGCTGCAATCCTCCCAGCACTGAATTACAGCAGCGGGGCTGCCTTTTCCCACAAGACCCCGGCCTTCTTCGGGCACAGAACCTTGATCATCCGAGCAGGAACAACAGGCCACAAATCAATGTCTGCTCCACCATAGATCTTCATGGATGGCAGGGGGGGGCGCCCTGCCGTCTCACCACAGGATACAGGGGGGTCTCTGCTCCGGCACACCTCCCCCCTCCTTTCTTCCTCCGTTCCTCCACTGACCTTGGTGTTCATGCAGCTGCAGCAACTCCTCCTCACAAGTCCCACTGCCTGTCACCACGTCCCTTCTTAAATACGTTATCGCAGAGGCGCAGCTGATTGGCTCAATTTCCCAAACAGAAGTGGAGCTGACGTGAAGCTGGGGGAGCTTCGAGAAGCTTCTCACAGGGGGCCGCCCCGATAGCCCCCTCCCCTGCCACCAAAAAACTCCACTACTCACTCAACCCAGGACAACAACACAGACTAAATGATCTTAGCTGTATCCTAAAACCAGACACTGGCTATAAAAGGTTCCTGGCTCCTCAAGAGACACAGCCCCATGTATAATCCTGACCAAGAAAGTTTCCCCAGAGAGAAGCAAGCTTAAATTAAAGTGAGAAAACACAGTTAAGCCACTATCTATACTGGATTCGTGCCACTCCATCGTTTTTCTCACCCAGAAGGTCGCAGCAGCCTGTCAGGGACCATGCTGGAGAAAGAACTCGGTTCCAGCTTGGAGAGACCAAGCAGCCCCCGATGAACATGACAGAAACACCTGCTGATGTGAGCCCTCCTGCTTGCTACACACTCCCCCAAAGGTCCTGTTGCACAGATTTTCAAGCCCATCTGTTTCCTGAAGGGAAACCCATGGACATAGCAAGAGCAGGACTCTCACGCTGCCCTCGCCAGGAGGCAGCTACCAAATGGTTGGCCCCTTTGGGCGTAGAAGCTGGGTGCCGTGCCAGGGCCTGGCTATGCAGCAGACGCAAAGGCAAGCTGAGGCCACAAAGTGTGTCTCTGTCTTTTTGCTTAGGCTCTGGTGCACTCAAGTTAAACGCATCTGTGACAAGTCAAGCATGATTTGACTCTCCTACCTGTTACGTAGCAGACTAAAACAAGTGAGTGCCCAAGATCACCCGCAGCACATCTGTCCTATCTGGGTACTCTAAGAATCAGCAACCTGTGGCACAGCTGAAATGTTTTCAAGCTTTTCTCTTTTGTTTAATATTTAAAAAGCCATTAGGGATGAAATCCTCATGAAACCAAGTAACTGCATGGGATACTGTGGGTAGCAAGTAATAGTCATCACTGTCACATGTTATGTCATTGTGTTTGGAAAGCTGTACTGCTAGCATGGCTTTCGGACTCCATTTACCAAAATTCAAGATTCCTACGATCATAAAGAACTTCATGAATACCATGATTTTATTTATAAACCATTTCAACAAAACTTTACCAGCCAGTCAGACACAGCCAAAACCAGCACAGTAACTTCACAAGGAATGAGAATATATAAGAAAACATCAGCATTATTTCCCTTTCTTTTGCCTCCTGAACATTATGATTATACCAGGAACTTACAGTATCTTTAACATCAACTCCCTCTATAGCATGGTAACTTTCTGTTATTTAGGCATAAGGTTGCAAAATCCAGTATAGCTGTGTATAGTTCTTCTGAGCTTTTCAAAGTTCTCACTGCTGTAACTGTCATACTGCAGGTGCAATATATTGCCAATGAAAAAGAAATTCAGGCACTTACCAGCTATTGATCCAGCCATGAGCAGATTTCCAGGGCTAACCCTCCCATCTTCATTTGCAAATGAAGCTTTCAAATGAGCATAACAGGGGAAGTAAATGGCAGAGAAGGGGATGTCACGCAAAAAACATGCCTTGGCACCCTGTGTTGAAAAAGAGAACAAGTTCTGAGAATGAGCAAATTTAACATGATGAACTATGAACATCAGAGAACAGAGCAACACTGTATTTTTGTTTTGTTGCAAAGGGCTTATAGAAAAAAACATTTCTGCTCTCAAAATTTTGAGAGATCCATATATTTCACCCTGCTGATGAGTGTCTGTGTATTGTTTCTTGGTTCAGTAATTTCTGTCATTCTATTTACCTTGTCTACTTGTTTTCCCTCATTCCCTAGTACCGTAGTTATTTGCTGGTAATAGAGGAAATGTCATCTGTTGGAGTAAACTCTGATAACACCTTTGCAGACTTTTAAATAGTTGACAGTGTAGCCATCCACCTGTAGCAGGTGTTTAAGATGTGTCTAAAGTAGATCAAGCTACAAGGCAGGTCTGTCTCCTCTCATTCCCGCTTACAATAAATGTTTCAGGGAAAATACCACCCAGTCCATACATCTATGCAGACACGTCAACTGATAAGGCAACATATACTGAGGGAAAGAGAGAAAGAAACAGTAGAGACAGAACACCAACTCTTTCACAGAACCCTAACAGGATAATTTACTTACAATATTTAAAGTACAAGTTAGCTGGTATACAGTTTGTTTCATGTAAGCTTCAGGTTTTACTGTTAAATTTCCCTTGCTATCAATTTGTGTACATGGTAGAAACAGCCAACGAAGTTACCAGTAATACAGTTGGTTTCAAATCTAAGAGGGTAGCAAACAGGCAAGGAAAGTTTTGGGGTAGTGGCAGGCAATCAACCCTTTTCCAAGCAGGGGGGAAAGCAAAAAAGCCAGTAGGGGAGGTCAACCAAAATAAAGACCAAAGAATATCCATGGTCCAGTAGCAAAAGACTTGCAATCTGCCTTTCCTCAATATGGAGATCCAGAGGACACCAGAGTCTGAACACACCAAGACTGAGATGGGCTGGAAGGCACAAACAGGAGGTGGCTTTGGAAAATGGGTAAAATCTTTCAAGCTTGAGAAAGAAATAGTTCACGTATGAGCCAAAGCCTCTTCTCCATGAAGCAAGGGTGGAGTCATGGTGAAACTGCTTGAGGTTCATCCATGAGCCCTCCAGGGGTGCCCTTGTTACTGTATTTCTCTTGTTTACAGGTCTGCTGGGGCATGGCTCAGTGCCAGACATTTCACAGGGGACATGCTAATATCCACAGAATTTAATTAAATCTAACAATATGCCTGGGCGTTTCTGTAAGCTTAGCTTGTCCTATAACAGCAGTTAAAATACAGTGCTTATCCAAGTTGGATGCTGGTTATCAAGCAAAGATGCAAGAGCTGCAAGGTGTCAGGAAAATGGAGTAGTCACCTTTCAGGGAGGAAAGGCAGGGGTGGGCAAGGAGAATGTGTGATGGGAAAACCAGGTCCCGTGAGCCAGTTCACAGGAGATGCTAATAAGAGCACTTTGCAGTCAGAGAATGCCTCTGAGAAAACAAAGATTTATCTAAAAACAGCCATGAGATCTAGTCAGCTTTCTGTGTGTCACGGACCCAGCTACCGAAGGCGGTGAGCACAACGTGCTCTGCTCCAACCCCAGGTGCTTCCCACCTCGCTTTCGCACGCTTACTTCTTGACGTTTTCAGACTGAGAACTGACCACTTCCCCTGACAGCCTGTTCGGAGGTTAATGACTCCCACTGTTCAGACCCTTTGCCTCGTTGCTCAGCTGGATTTGTCAGATTTATGCTGCCAGTTGCAGATTCTCGTTATGCCTTTCCAGATACGCTAAGGAAAATGCCACGAAGGAACTCGAAGCACTGCCATTGCAGCCACTCCGCTGCTCGCCCGCGCTGAATGGGCTTCTCAGCCGCCCAACAAAGCGATGCTGGGCTGGATTCTCCTACCAAAATTACCTACAGAGTCCATACACTACCTTGAGGGCACAGAGGAGATGAATCTTCTGAGTTCACCAGAGACATAAGAACTCTGGCCTCTTGTGCAACAGAAGCCCGTTTTACAGTTTACCTTTAATCTTCACATAAAAAGAAAAGACTAGGGTTTTACCAAGTTCTGTATGAAAAAACAACTTTTTAATAATCAAATGTCTGCACAGTATTTACCTCACAGAAGAATTATGAAACTCACTAACGAAACATTCACGGACCAACATGGTTTCTCCAAAGATTTATTTTTAGAGCATGCTTTTCCTCAGAGCAAATCTCCTCACTGCCTTTGCCCTCAGGGCACATTACTTTTATTTTCTTTGCAATGTTGTCATTAAACACTGCGCACATTTTTTCCTCCGCATTTTTTTCATACTCTGAAATATCCCAACATAGTTAAAATAACTTACGGAAATCAATAAACTCCAAATGCAAGCAACGCTTAACTCAACCAGAGCTGCTAATATTCCTCCCTCTTCATTAAAAGACTCTTTTTCATGGGGCAGAAACGGCATTTTGTTAATATCACTAATATTATACGTAGGTACGCAGAGAGGGAGGGATGTCCATCAACTTTGTTAGCTCCGTGTAAACAAAACCTGGATCAAAACTTGGATCCACTTTAATAATAACCCAGCTTGGCACTGGTCCAGCATCGCAGCAGTCTAAAGTTTCCCCCCATCCTTCAGTTTAAAGTCTGGGAAAGCATGTTTAAAAGCAGGCCTCATTTAACTTCAAGTTAATCATCCGCAACCAGCCTAGGCCAATTAGGAAGGCTTAGGGAGATTGGCCACAGCATCTTGAAAAGCAAAAGAAACATTTATTTTACTTCTTGCACCTTTTTGATGTGGACAACGTGCTGAAAGCCAAAAGGAGTTTTAATCAATCCCCAGAAAGCTGTAAGGATCATCCGCCCGAGTTTATTCTGGCAGCCAAGGTGCAGACCTGCCAGGCATGAAATTGTTGGGAGATCCTACACACCATGACATGCGCCTCCCTCACACAACAGCCAGTTGGCTCCCATCTTCAATCTCTTTAATAACCTTAAAGCTCTTAATCGCGGATAGTATCTCTCCGAATAAACCAGCGGAGGAAAAAAAAACCCGATTGTCAAAGATTCGGATAAATAAACCCAAGTCAGTGCTGGGGCAGGTTCTTTAGCATGCTAATTCCTTCTTATACCAGCTCTACCTGCAAATAAGGCTCTAAACAAACTATTTCTACTACAAGGGGAGGGTAATTATACTGACAAAGGCACCTCTGTGTCGGGTTGGGCAGAAGGAGCCGGCAGGTCTGGGAGACGCAGGCTTAACCTAGTCTCCTGCAGTGAATGCACATTGTCTAGTGCAGGGGGAAAAATGCCAGACTGGGGGGACCTAGCAGCATTCAAGACAACAGTGGTGCACCTTGTCTGAGAGGGTTATTTAATGCTTCTGGCACCTGTACTTACAGCCACCCCCTCTTTTTCTCCTTTACAGGTTTAGAATTTATTTGGCATGTGTAATTGTTATTTTGATCCTATAGCTACAAACAATAGGCAGCATGTCATTTCTTGATCATTTTGCATTCTTCTTGGGCTTTACTACAGAATTAACCCTTTGGAATCAGAGCCCTAACAGCACCTAACAGGTTTTGTAACAGTCAGTCAAATATTACTTGCATTTGCTTTCAAGGGCTGTAATTTTTTTTCTGCTGTAAAATGACATTGCCTTAAAAGCTGCTATAGGTTTTTATTCACACATATTTATACTAACCAAAATATGAAACTGATTTAGTACATCAAGTTAGAGGAATAAAACACTGATTTCAAATGCTGTGCCAGCAATTCAGATTCAGTTTGCAGACAGAAATTACACCACTTCTTAGTTGGAAGGGCGCTTTTTTTTGCTATTTTAAAAGAAAATTTCTGAAGAGAAAGTTCTTGCATATGAGGACACAGTCACAAACAGGCACGCTGGAGGCAAATGAATGTAACTCAAAACTTTTACTACTCTGTTGTGTATGTTTATCATCCTGCTGTAAACCCTCAACTTCAAGAGGTGAAATACCTCAGCTGTTATCAAAGCAACCAGGTGGGAGCTTGGTATATGTCCTGTCACTTGAGATGACACTTTCTAGGTCAACACACCAGAAGACCATTTATGAAGCTGTCAGAAAAAGAAGAGGAGATTTCTGGAACCCTTTCTGACTAGTTTTGGAAATGAAAACTGTTGGTGGTACCAGCCAAAGCACAAATCTGAGCTAAATACCTTCTAGTAATTGTAATCATAAACATTACCACAACCAACATATCCTTTCCTCGAAGAATCATTTACTACCATATTATTTACTGTCTTCTTGGGATCACTGAATAACTTTGTTGTGCAAAATTATGGAGTGGCACTGTCTGTTATGCTGTGAAGCACTATTCAGAATGATTATTTATAAAAAGAGTAATACTTCATTAAACATTTTATGGCAGATATATGGATATGAGTTTCTATGATGTACAAATTAAGTAGGTGTACTTACAATGTGTATTTACATGAGCACTTTAAAGATGTCTTTTAAAAGCAATAGAATATACATTCAACTGACTTTAAGGAGGCTTTACGCATATTACTGTGTAAGACAGGTAGAAGACAGAAAATATATTAGCTAATCTTCAATATTCAAACATGACCAGAAATTAAATAGAATCTATTAAAATACTGAAAACCAGAATTGTATCCTTTCCCATTTCTGCCAATACAAATGACATTTTGTGTTAGGTTAAATGGTATTTTCCCTGACTGGGATACGTTGTCTCTGTATTTTTAAGAATAGCTGTCATCTACAGAACATCTGTAGCTAAAGAAGAACTTACTAGTCCTAAGATTCCATGCCCTGGTGCTTTCACAGCAACAATTACTGGCACAAAGACGACAAATAGAGGAAACAAATTCCTTCTGCAAAGCGCTGTTATGTGCCTCCCCAAAGGAGCAGCTGGGTTTTGAGAAGTACAATGTTTTAAAATACTTATTTACACAAGAAGATCAGATTTTTAGACAAAGACATAAAAAAATATTTGCTTTCTAGCTTTAAGGAACTACAGGGGTTCAACCCA